TAAATGTTTTTTTTCAAAAATATTAAATTATATTATTTTATGGTTTTAGTTGGAACTTACTTAGCATTGTTGCTAATTTTTGTTTTCTTTTATTTTTCTTTCTGTACTTGATTTTTGTACAGGTAATGCTTTGCTGATGATGTTGATTTCGGGAGAGCTTCTGCTAGAGAAAATGTAATTAGTAGATAACATTGTAGTTTAATTTAATTTTCAAGACACTTATTGAGTTTGATGGTTTCTGTGGTGATTAGCCTGTGCACTCGGTTAGGTTAGAGCCGAGTGTGGCGGTAACGCCCCTATTTCCCTTTTGGTTTTCCGCTGCATAACCCTGATGTTTTCAAATAAAGTTGATATTTCTTTTGAATAAAATATTTTTTCTGGGTGGGAAATTTGGAGGTGTTACAAGTTGGTAACAGAGACCTTAGGTTTTCCGAAAGGATTAGGACACGAGGTAATAGGTCGTAGGGAGGAATTCTGTTAACGAGATGATAAGAGTCTGAGCTGGTTGGTGCATAATTGAGCCTTTGCGCTTGTCCAACTAACTGAGAATTTCTCCTTGTGCTGAATCTTCGTTGTTCGAAATCCCTAAGTAAAACCTTTGGAATCATACCTTCAAATGGGAATTTTCAAAATATTTTGATCAGGGAAAATAAGATAGTTAGAAAATGGCCTTTAGGAACGTGGTGAGGACTTTGTGAGTATTACTTTTATGTTATATATATGTTATAGGAAAAGTTGAGAATTGTGGGCTCATGTGAACTGAGAACCCCAAGTGTTGAAATGTGTTGTCATATGGAATGTGCATCCTACCTGTGAATATTTACACCTACGTGGTAATTGCATGATATAACTTGGTAGCATATGGAATCCTTAGTTCTAGGATCCTTAAGGGAAAGTAGGAGGAGTTTTCTTTACTAATTCAAGTTATTTATTAACGGAGACACCATGCCACCGAGGAGAGACCCGAATGTCGTCCCTACCAATGCTGAGCTGGCGCAAGCTAGCTCTCACGCTGCTCACCCAGACAATCACTGTGGCATTTCAAAACCAACCCAACAACGGCAATAACATGGAGAGTCGTGTAGCGGCACGAAACCCGCCGAGCTTCCTTGGGCAAGAGGATCCAGTCCTTCTTGAGAATTGGATACGATCCTTCGACAAGCTGTTTGATGCGGTCAATTGCCCGACAGATCAACGAATTAACATTGCTGTTTATTATCTGCATGAAGAAGCAAATAAATGATGGGTTCATGTGGGACCGGGGATGAGCGCACAACCGGACTTCACTTGGGATCGGTTCAAGCGTGCACTGCGAAAAAGATTTTACCCGCCAAACGCGCAAGCAGAAAATCGTGACAAGTTCCTACACTTGAAACAGGGGGACATGACGGTGCAAGAGTATCACAGTCAATTTGTTACTCTAACAGAATTTGCAACATCAATTGTACCCGATGAGGAGAGTAAGATCGAGAAGTTCATCGGAGGACTGAACTACTTGGACTTCTTACTACTCGGAGGGCTTGGAATCCCTTTTAGAGGGTGTGCACACTTAAGGTAGAGGTTCAGTTTCCTCAGGTTAGAAGTGGTACCGGCAAAAGTCCCGGGGTGGCCGTACATAACAACGGACCATCGGGCTCAACAAAATGTTGAGCACTGCCCTTCAAATGTATTAGGAGTTTAATACAATTATATTTTTTTAATACATTACTAGAGTACCTATTGAAGAAAATATTTTGGTTAGTGAAAGTGAGGATCATCCATTTTTGAAAGAAGTATACCATGAAATTTATCTCTTGAACTATTTTTTTCGTATATATGGTATACAAAATATTATTTTCACCAAACCTATTATTTTACGGGGTTAGGTGGGACTTACTTAGCTCTAAAGCTAATTTTTGTGTTATTTGTTTCTTTTATTTCCTTATGTTACAGATGATGTGATTTATGAAGATTGATGCCTTGAGAGCGCTCCTAGAAGACTTTTAGAGTAGTCACATCTAGAATAAACATTGTTAGATTTCATTATTACAAATGTTGAATTGAATATTTCTTTAGATACATTTATGGTGGGTAGCCTTAGCATCCAGTCGGTTTAGGGCTGGGTGTGGCGGTAACACACGCCTTTTCCTTGTTATTGTTTAATTCCGCTGCAAAGAATTGAAAGTTTTGAATAATTAATAAAGTTTATCATTTCTTTAAGTATTATTTTGGGAGGGAAATTTGGGGGTGTTACAGGACATTGGAGGCGTGGCAGGGTGGCAACGACCCAAGCAGTGGGTGGTTAAAATTAATGTTGACGGTGCGGTCAACCAAGGGGGAGGTATTAGAGCTTGGGGGTGGGTGGCTAGAGACAAAGAAGGAAAATTTATTCATGCTAAGGGTGTAGGTCATTGGGCGGGATGGACGGCTAAAGACATAGAAGCGATGGGTTTAAGGGATGCTGTTATAGGAGCAATTGATATCAGTTGGCAGCAAGTGGAGATAGAATCTGATGCTCTTACAATTGTGCAGGGACTGAAGAAGAAGCAAGGATCAGCTTATGATAATCTTATTATTGATGATATTCGTAGTTTATTAGAAACAAAACAGTTCTTTTACAATCTCTTTTTGTAAAAGGTCTGCGAATCGTGTGGCTCATGCCTTAGCTAAGTCGCACGTGTATATCTCAAATCAGGCTATAGATTATGATTAGCAACCTCATTGTATTTCTAGCCATCAGTCTACTGATTGTTTGAATTAATAAAGTTGGCGTAGTTTAACGATAAAAAAAATTATAGAGCACTTAGATCAAACGTTTTAAATATATATGTAGTTACAAACTAATCTCAATTTACAATACTCTACATCATTAGTATTAAAGTAGATGAGTAAATCTCAAAAATATAATTTTTAATGGGTTGCACTTAACATCAATTTATTTAAAAATGAATTTTAATTTACAATATTGTATTTTATAAATATTAAAATAGATTAGTACAAAGTATTAGAACCAGTTTATTTAAGAGTTTTTTTCCCGAAATAATGCTAATTAAATAAATAATTTCCAAAATACTGCTAGGTTAAAAATAATTCCCAAAATACTGCCGGGTTGACCGTGGTTAAGGAAAGACGCCACTTGAAGTGGCGGCTCTTCTCTTACAGTACAAAAGCCGCCACTCCAAGTGGCGGCTCTTCTCTTACAGCACATTTTGTACATATATAAAATGCAGTATGTTTCAACAATTTTTTTTAACTATCTTCCCGATTGAATTTTGAGCTGAAATTTGGTATGAATAAACTAGACTTGATGAGGAACATGTTCAAAAAAATTCATCAAAAAAATTCACCGAGAAGACCCTCTGATAGTGTTGTCCGCACGGGGTTTCGGTCAGGACGTTGTGACAGGAATATGACATTTTTATGAAATTTGAGGTGCTTCCGAGTTGAATTTTTTGATGACATTTGGTGATCATGTTCTTCCTAAAGTGTAGGTTATGTTCACCGAATTTCAGATTAAAATTAAATCAAGAAGTTAGTTAAATTATTTATTGAAAAAACCTGCATTTTTAGGCCTAAAAGATTGTGCAATTTTCAAAAATTTATTTAACTAACTTCCCGATTGAAAGGAACTAATTGCAGATTCGAGCTATCACTGTCATCATTAAGCCCTTACAAACAATTCTTTCTCTTCCACTTACTAAATAAATATGAACTCTCTTTGGGCAGTTTATGGCCATTGGAAATAGTTTCAACACCCATATCAACTTTAGCAACCGGTACTATTGCTCTAAGTTCCAATTGCATAATCACTGTTTCGCCCGATTCACTTGAGCTCGTGTCTGGAAGACAATGGTAAATTCAAATTCTGTAATCTAGAGAAGCATGTGTAATCCTACAACATACAAACTATTGATAGAAATGCTCAAAGTAGTGTAAAAATGGAATTACATATCATATATAACACATGCAGCTAAAACATGATGACTTATGGATAAATTATCAACAAATATGAAACAATAAGAAATTATAAAACATTGCTTCCGGAAAATAATATACCAAACGATCTAGTTGCATAATTTCTAAAATTTTCGTGGCAAAAAAATTGTCATGTGCCTTCTGAAAATGTTCATGTAAGGTAGGCCTAAAAGTTGCAATTTTAGCCCTATTTCATTTGAGCTATTTCCGGGTCGAATTTTTTTGATGAAATTTGGTGAGCATGTTCCTATGGAATGTAAATTATGTCCACCAAATTTTAGATTAAAATTCAATCGGGAAGTTAGTTAAATAAATTTTTAAAAACCGTATAATTTTTTAGGTCTAAAAATGCATTTTTTTCAATAAATTATTTTAAGTAACTTTTCGATTTAATTTTAATCTGAAATTCGGTGAGCATAACCTACACTTTAGGAAGAACACGATCACCAAATTTTATCAAAAAATTCGACTCAGAAGCAACTCAAATTTCATAAAAATGTCTCATTCTTGTCACGACGTCCTGACCGGAACCCCTGTGCGGACAACACCATCAGAGGGTTTTCCTGCTGAATTTATTTGATGAATTTTTTTGAGCATGTTCCTCATCAAGTCTAGTTTATTCATACCAAATTTCAGCTCAAAATTCAATCGGGAAGATAGTTAAAAAATTGTTGAAACATACTGCATTTTATATGTGTACAAAATGTGCTGTAAGAGAAGAACCGCCACTTGGAGTGTCGGCTTTTGTATTGTAAGAGAAGAGCCGCCATTTCAAGTGGCGGCTTTCCTTAACCACGGTTAACCCGTCAGTATTTTGAGAATTATTTTTAACCCAACAGTATTTTGGGAATTATTTAATTAGCATTATTTCGGGAAAAAAGTCTTTATTTAACAATGAATTTTAATTTACAATATTGTATTTTATTAATACTAAAATAGATTAGTACAAAGTATTAGAATAAATGGATAAATATGAAAATGGGCCATAACTCCATAAGGATTACATGACAAGCCGAAGGGATCCGAAGTACATAATAAGCCCAACTTTGTTGTTTTCCACAGAAAGTTACGGTTCTTCAAACCCAGAGACCTATGCACACCCTCTAATCGCAGAATTGCAAAACCCAATCCCCAACCCTCGATCAATCCTCCCATGGTTTCTCCGGTAACCACCTTTCAAATTGAGGCAGGGCCTCCACCATTGGAGCTTTCAAATATAGAGAAGCAGTCGCCTTCTGCGGCGGATGTAGCTTCGAGGCTACTGGAGTCCGCCGATAACACCAATAATGGAGGCGCTATGACGGGCTCTGCAGAGCAGCAAACGCTCTCTGCGGCATCTGCCGCTACTCCTAAGTGGCCAGGGTGGCCAGGAGATAACGTGTTCCGGCTGGTAGTGCCGGTTTTGAAAGTGGGCAGCATAATTGGGCGCAAGGGCGAGTTCGTGAAGAAGATGTGCGAAGAAAGCCGAGCTCGCATTCGAATACTGGAAGCCCCTGTTGGAAATCCAGATCGGATAGTAAGATTGACAGACTTCGAATTTATTCATTTTTTTTACAAAAAAATATTTAAATCACAAGCCAATCTTGATTGATTAAGCTAGGTTTTGCTCTTGAGCTAAATTACCCTTTCCTTGAAAAACCACAATTTTTACGGTTAATAGTACACTAGGTTTACCCTTTTTTTCTTCTATCTTGGAAACCTTCTGTTAAATGACTCCTTTTTCATGTGGTCAAGTTCTATCATGCTTTGTATGAGTAAACTATTTCCGTTACTCATTACAGTGCTTACGTGTTCTTAATCCAAATCTCAAGCTTGTTTATGCTATTAGAACCATAGACTTTTATGTGGCATTCTTGTGGTCAACGGCTGAATTAGGAGTTTTGAGTTTGTAATCTACAAAGGTTTATTTCAGAACTGTAATTGTTTCTTCTACTTCCTAGTTCCTGCAAACCTCAATACACTTTTTAAAACTTGAAACGTATGCTGGATATAAACTTCCTAGCACTATATATGAAGCACCTCAATAGTGGTGCAAAACAGTGTTACATAAATGTATAAAAAAATGAAACTGAGGATAAATAAGTTTCTATCTCTTCTTTCCATTTCCCCTCTGGCTGTCTCTTTTCAGTGAAGAGACGTAGATAATGCTACTAGAAAGATCTCGTTGTATTTGTTTATTTGCTATAAATTTGGGCCCTTGAGAACTAGAGCTTGCATAAAAGTATAGAATCAGATGGTATAGAAATTAAACCATTTAAGCATGTAACTAATATAAACTGCTCAGTTCAGGATACATTTGCACACTGCTCTCTAATTACCTGCGTGGTATGTGTGGTACACAATAATATTGATTGCTTTCAATCAAACATTTTTGACATTGCGGTAACCAACATTCCAGTAGTGACTTGATTAAATAATTTTTTTCGTTTTGATTTGGATTTTTTCTTTAAATGGTACAAGCAAGCCAGGAGATGCCACCAAGAGAGCTGAGAGCAACATGAAGTCGACCCTAAACAAAGACCTATATATATTTATTTATATATATTGTGCCACAGTAGTTAAACCTAAACAACTGAGTAAAACAAGTACATTGTACTTTGTACCCTAAAACTACATGAGTTCATTTCATCCCTAATACTCCAGTAAAGGTACAAAGCTCTTAGCGTCTGTTGGGATATAAGGGTTTGGAGGGGAATGCTTAAAAAGTCGTAGTCTATGTCTCACGAGTCATGAACCAGAATGTTTCTAGAAATAGATAAAATGTGTTTGAAATGTTATATGATCACATGTTTTGTTTATCTTTTAATTTTGTAATATCTTGAAGTTATATCAAGATTTAGACTATGCGGTCTAAATCCTTCCCCACTAAACTTCGAAAACCCTTTATCCCAAAAGACCCTAGAATCATAGATCTCTTTCACATCAGATCAAGGGAAAAGGCTATTAACTAAAAAATATTCTTCTAACTTTCCTATGGTGATCTGTTGAAAATTGGTATTAGGTTAAGCAAAAAAGAAACTTTAACATGTTTTTATATGCTTTAGGTCCTAATTACTGGAAGAGAAGACCCAGATGTGCCCCTATCCCCTGCAATGGATGGAACACTAAAAGTTTTCAGACGCATTTCGGGATTGTGTTCTGCAGAAGAAGGTGGTGCAGATTCAGCTGCTGCCATGGCTGCATTCTGCTCTATTAAGTTATTGGTGGCTGCTTCACAAGCTGCTCACTTGATAGGGAAGCAAGGGTCTACAATTAAATCAATTCAAGAAAGTTCTGGTGCATCAGTGCGAGTTTTAACGGAAGGTTTGCTAACATTGAATGTCACTCCTTCCATCTTAACAACATCTAGTCTTAACAATATATTACTTTTTTACATGCTTTGTGTAATTTTCTTTGCATAGTTTTTCATTAATCTCATTTTATAACTTCTGTTGTCTATATACTGAGTGCATGATATGTAAAAAAGTGAACCAAATACCTACAACACTTCCATGGCTAAAAAGAAGTGTGATGAACTAGAATTGTTGAATCTAGCATATTGGAAAATTAATCCTCCAAAATAAGCATGAGCGGCTACTATATTATATGTTTCTTCCTCTGGGCCGAGTACGCAACCTTCTTTACCCTAAAGGTGACATGGAACCATGCATAGGAGTAATTAGGGAGCCGCCAAATACACCAGCTACACCTCACTTATGAAATGTGTGCATAGTAGTGTTGTGCTCAGCCTGAAATACAATCATCCATTAATGTCTCAGAACCTGATAATGGTTTCAAGATTGCAATACTTTTTTTTATGATTAAATTCTTGAGATACTGCATACTTTGTTCTTTACTCCATTTGTCGCTTTTTATCTGTGTCATATACACCTCCCAGATCAAACTTAACTATTCTTTCATTGTTTATTTTTGAAGTAATTTGTTATAATTTTCAATTTGTGGAGTTTAATTGCTGATTTTAGTGGTCTTTTGAGTGTATAGAATTTTACACTAAATTTAACATTTTCAGAAATATTTCATTGCAAATGATAAGAGTGAGTTCTCATTTTAGTCATTTCCTATTAATTCTGTATGGAACAAGTAAATTATTAAGTCACTGATATATACTCCTTAGTATATCAATTTGGAGAGCATTGCTTTTCTTCCTGAAGACTGATACACTACACTGTTTATAAAGGAAATAATCAGTCCCAAGAGTAACAAACTAGACTTATGAGATTCTAATCCTTACTGTTATTCCATATTTAAACAGCATGCATGAGGTGCTATATTTCTATTTTGTCAAACCTGTGTTGCTGATTGTTATAAATATCTAATTATGAAAATAACGCCGTCGATTTCCCATTCTTTCATAGATGAGTTGCCCACATTTGCCACTTCTGATGAGAGAGTAGTTGAGATTCATGGTGAGGCTGTGAAGGTCCTTAAAGCTTTGGAGGCAGTATTAGGACAGTTGAGGAAATTTTTGGTCGATCACACCGTTCTACCTATATTTGAGAAGGGTGTAAGTATGATGAAATTTATACGTTGTTCTGATCTAATTGGATACATAATTACTAAGGCATGTTCAATTGCAGTACGATTCAACTGTTCCTCAAGAGCGCGCTCCCGAGCCCTGGAATGAGAAACCTCGGGCCCAACAACACCCTGGTTCTGTTCCTGCACTAACAACTCAATCTTTTTCCGAGTTTTCTTTCCCCATGAAACGGGATCCTTATTTACTTGATCATGAGACCTCATTGGACACCAAGCTTCAACGCTCTTCAGTCTCACTCTTTGGACAAGATCCTGCACTCCATGGCTTACACTCCTCTGTACCTTTACGGACTGCTCCAATAGTTACTCAGGTCAATTTAATGTCTATTCATTACTCCCTCTGCCCCAATTCATTTGTCGTTTTAGTGAGAAAAAAATTTGTTCCAAGAAAATTGTTTAGAGAAATCAATGCACATATTTTACAAATTTTCGAAATTTTCCCTTATATAAAATGCTTTACACTCCTTATATAGAAGGAAAAAGGAGCAAAAACACCCCTAGAGTTGTCACCAAGGAAGATATATGCCCACAAACTTAATTTTTGAGCAAATGTCTTTAAAAACCCTGAAAAGAGGGCAAAACCCTCCTTTAACTAACGGAGGTAAGTTAACAAAACATGCATCAGTTAAATTTGTTCGGTTGGCTTTTAAACAGGCCGTATATAAAACAAATACTCCGTATGTTAGTGTGCTATGTTTGATATTATTTCTTTAAAAGTGTAGCTTGTGATGCATTATAGAAAAAAACCTGAAAGATTTTGATCCCCAAATAATCATATTTGCTCGTCCAAAAAAATATTTATTTCATATTAACATTATGCTTCGAGTTTTTATAGATGGTACACTTTATATGTATTCTAGTGCTAGAATAATTTAATTTTTTACTAGTTTAATAAATTGTTTTTAAAAAAGTCGGAACTAAATGAATGTGTAATTTTAATGTCACACAAGTATTTGTACTTTGAATTGGGAAATCATCCTAAACAGGACTAAACCTAAACATAATTGCACTACTAGGCAGGGGCGGATCCACGATTTTGAGTCAAGGGGGCGAAATTTTTTCAGCTACTATAGGGCTCTGCGATTTTTTTTTTTTTATATTTCAAAAACGAATTCCATTAATACATAATGACGATATTTAAATCTATTTTATCTAAATTTAGACTGGAAAATATCTTTGATTTTATAATTGAAGTCTTCTAGAATAAAGTATTGATACATTAGAATGGTGGTGGGTGCATTCTGGATATTTTCGATGGATTCCGGTGACTGATGGCAGTGGCCAGTCTGTAGGCGGCAGATCTATAGACGGAGGCCCCCAACGGTGGATGGAGGATGGCGGCCAACGACAGTGGTCGACCGTAGGTGGCATGGACTGGGGGATATAGCTAGGTGGTGGTACTACTACAGGGGTATATTTGTCCAAAAAACACATAATTAATCCTATTTAGTGAATCTAAAACATCGGGTTCTATGTTTGCATTTAACACATATTTTACTCATATTTGAGAAATTCATTCGTTTGAATTCACTTTACATTGTCTGGGAATTGTTTTATTAATGTGTGTGGTAATCTGGTACTACATCCGTCTAAAAAAACTTTGTCATTACATAAAATTTTGGACCATGTTTTCGATTAATATAATACGAAGTCTTATGGAACTTATATACTACCTCCGTTCTATTTTAATTGCAACATTGAATTTTTTGTACTATTGACATAGGCTACTTTGACTATATATAATTTATTGATGTATTATATATATATAAAAAATATTTAAATTACCCTTATTTTAAATTTTCAAAATATGATTTTTTTTCTCTAATAAGGAATGAAAGTTATTAACGGTCAAACTTGTGCGTTGACAAACGTGAAAAGTGGAACATTGCAATTAAAAAAGAACGGAGGAAGTATTTTGTAGTTTCGTAAAAGTACTTTCAATAAAAACACTTATGTATCATATATTTTTATCGTATAAGTAATGTCTAATAAAAATATATAGTTGGTCAATGTTTTAAATATGACAATGTTTTTTGGGACGGAGGTAGTATTTGATAGTACTTGATATTTTACAATATCTAGTTTTCATTATATAGTAAGGATGTTTTTACTTGGAATGTAATTTGCTGGTCTGGTCTGTTTAAGTTTGGTATGGTTTGGTAAACGTTTGATCTTTGTGTATTTTATAACTAAGGAAGTCAAGTCTGACCTGGTTTGGTCTGTTTAAGTCTGGTCTGATATGGTCTGGTATGTTTTGTCTGAGTTGATCTGGTATGAGAGACTAAGTAAAAACATCCTAAATATAAATTAAACATTATAAAATTGAGATTTTATATGGAATAAGTATTCTACATCTCAAACCAATGAATTATTCTAGTGTTTATTTGTTCAAATAAAGATAAATTAATTTAGTGTGGTTTCCCATTGTCGTTTATACGGCCGGTATAATTAATAGCCAAGTGAGCAATATAACGGATGGATGTTATAATAAGTTGTTTCCGTTTGTTGAAGGGCCTTTTTGCTCTATTTTCAAGTTTGTTAAAGTTTTTGCTCAAAATTTAAGTTTGTGGGCATAGATCCTCCTTGTTGACAACTTCATGGATGTTTTTGCCCCTTTTCCCTATATAAAATGCTTTTGCACAACAACAACAACAACATCCAAGCTTTATTCCCAAAAGACTTGGATGTAATTTTGAACTTACCGAAAATGCTTTACTCTCCCTATATAAATTCCTCTGCACATTGAAAATAAATTATTTGCCTTTGATATTAGGTTCCTTCATATGTTTGCGCTTCTCTAAAGTGTTAATCAATCATGGATAAGAGTAGTTAGGTGTCTCAAACTTGTAATCCTTTTCGGTTTTTTCCGGCAAGGTCATTATTTGTTAGCACTTAACTCCATTCCCTTTATACCCAGTATAAAAGCTGATATACTGACTTACCAAGAGAATAAAGGAGTGTACATTGAATGTAATTCATAAAGTTCGAAATTGCATTCAGACACTTTTGAGTAAATGTAGAAATATAGAATAAGTGCATTGTATTTAATTCATTTGACATGCAAAGTGTTCTGTATGATGTTGGTCTTCCAACGCTTCCACTCACTTATCTGTGATTTTGATCTGTGTTGAACTCCAACTACCCATACTCTAGAACATCTCAATATTATATTGAACTTGTGAACTAGTAGAGAGTGTTGGGAAGCTTATTTTGTCTTCCCCATACAATCTGACAGTAGCATCATCATCTTTTGCCTCTACTGCTTGAAGATTCACCCTTTCTAACCATTCTATGTCACTAAATTGGGCATTCCCTTCGCCCTCTTCAATGGCAATTATTAGGTTCAGATATTTGTATGCATAGACCGATCCCCTTCCTTGCCTGAAGAATAACCTGTGGGTGTCACTATTTTTTTTGGTTGTTGAGTAATTTTCATATGTGTTTGGCTTTGCAGATGACGAAGATAATGCAAGTGCCCCTATCATATGCTGAGGACATTATTGGTATTAGCGGAACAAATATTGCCCACATCCGCCGTACTAGCGGGGCAATTCTTAGCATTCAAGAGAGCAGAGGCTTACCTGATGAAATTACTATTGAAATTAAAGGGACCTCATCACAAGTTCAAACAGCTGAGCAGCTTATTCAGGTAATAGTTTCATCTTATAGCTGATTTTTTGTCTCTTTAGCTCTGTTACATTGTAATTCGCACTGATTTTGCCATGGGATGTTGCCTCTGATAAGTGTCAACTGGCTATTGCTTTCTGCTCTATTTTTCTATGTATTCTTAAACAGAGATATGCATTCCGGTTCTCTGTTAATCTGAACCAAAGATATGTAATTTGGTTTTAGTTTATAGATATTTTTTCGAAACTTTTTAAACCGAAACAAATTGATGAAAACCAAACCAAACAAAAAATAACACAAGCCCAAAACTCCCACCCTTTTTAAAGTTAAGTAGCTAATTGTCCCTTCAATTTTTCTCATTTTCCTTACTGATCATATCCATGTCTCAATCCAACCCAAGTTTGTACATTCTTGAACACCTTTACTATCTATATTGTTCTTTATTGATACTTCCATCTGTTCCATTCTGCCATCTCAAGAGAAAAAGAAGGGACACCTTTACTGGTTAATATTTATTCTGCGTGTGTGTTGAAGACAGTGATATCTGTAGCATGTACTAGAAGCCTATGTGCAGGGTTTGCATATACTCTATTAGTAATTTAGTATATTGGAAACTTGCCAGAACTGGATTAAGAAGAGGATAGACAATCCTATTCGTTAAGACATTAAATTTAATGATTGAGGTGTCTCCCACAATGTTGTAAGGCTCTATTTGAGCCTATTAGCATTTACACGATTTCCTGAAATATAGAATAGTTGTTGGAGTATTAGCGTCATATATGTCTCTTGTTTTCCAGCAGTAGTGAGGGATTAATTATATGAACTTTTGTGTGTGTAGGATTTCATTAACAAACACAACGAACCAGCATCAAGCATGTATGGCAAGACAGATACTGGACTTGGGTCATTCTCACGTTTTCGTGAGTATTCGTCGTCTTCATATCCTCCTCAGCAGCCCTTGGGAGGCGGGGGCGGGTATGAATCCTCCAGTCTAGGTGGCTATGGGGGTTATAGGTTTTGAGCGGTCTGACTCACCTGGCATTTGACTAAGTTCAATGTTTGGCTGTATGTATACTTACTATAAATGCTTCCAGTGGGGTTATGTGATGTTGAAGTATTTAAATTCTTAAAAAAACTAGAATTTAAGGCAGAGATTAGAATGAGGATTCGTGATATTTGTTTTCTCATTTTCTTTATTTTATTTTAAATGCTGTCTTATTTTCTGTATGGATGCCATGTGTTGTATGTTTTTATCATTATTACTAGAACTTTTGCTTTTGTTTACTGAATTTGAGCCGTTGAACTTTTAAGGGAAAAGGGGCAAAAAACCCCTTCAAGAGTTCAAGTTGTCACCAAAGGACATCTAAGCCCTTAAACTATTTTTTTGTGCAAAAAGCTTTAAAAACAATGAAAGGAGGGCAATTGCACCCCCTTACTAACGGTGAAGCAAACCCAACTTGTTTCTTTGTTGGTTGTTATGACCGTATGTAGCAAAATTTTAACCTGCTACTATTTTTGATACTTTTTCTTTTAATTTCAGCTTGTGCTCTATTAATGATATAAATTTAGACTACTTTGGTCCCTAAATCAGGACATATTTCCTCTCTTTTTAAATAAATGCTATATGTTGAATTTTACAATTTACACATGCTCTACTTTAACTACGCTTTATTTATTAATGTATTAATAAGTTATTATTTTTTTGATATTTTATTATTAGAGAATTATACTTGCCTTGTCCATGAATTAGTTTTCAAATTTCCTGGTTCGTCAGTCTCAAAATATTTTTTTTTGCAAAAAAATTGTGGTTCATTAAATGTTTTACACGTTACATGTTTCTCTCTTTTCAGTACAACTCTTCACTACACAATTTTCTCTTTCTTTATTCCCGTGCAAAATCAACTTTGGAAGACAATTCAGGGACAAATAAAGTATATATTAATGGTCAAATTTATGCATTGAAAAATATGAAATGTAATGACACTTAAGAACGAGAGAAGAATTACGCAGCTGTCAATTTATCATGATATAACAAATACATGATATTCATTAAAAAAACATATACATTACAAATTAATTGGTTTAAAGATAATCCAAGGAACACAATAAACACTCAATGATCTTAATCACATCGATATTAGTTGCGATCTGATGTGCCGCCGTTACTTTCGTCGTGGATTTCCTCCGTGATTTGGAAACACACCGGTATAACAGCGTGATGCGATTGTGTCTCTGTCCGTGACCCAAGAAAAATTATACTACACTTCAGCTTGATTCAGTTTGAATTTGTTACGTTTTAAAAATGAAATAAAAAGCTATTGATTTTTTTTACTTAGTTCGATTTGCTTTTATTCGGTTTTCAAAAGTATATGGAACATTAAGAATTTAGTGAAATTTTCGTATCACATCACTAGTGCTATCACGTTTATTGGGCTCACTGGATTGTCTTTTTAATCGATATTTGTTATATGTTATAACAAATTAATATATAATTCAATCGTCCTTAAATAATCTTACAAAGTTGGTTTTGGATGAGAATGAAGAAAAGAAAAAATGTGTGGTAGAGCGTTGCTCTGAAGAGAGAGAAATGTATAAGAACGTGTAGAACATGTTGTGAACTACAAATTCTTTGAAAAAAAAAGATTATTTTGAGAATGAAGAAAAAGGAAATTTGAAAATTAATTCAGGTGCGGAGCGAGTATAATTCTCCATTAATAAAAAAGAAATTGAAAATTTATAATGAGACAAATTTAAAAATATTTAAATATAATAATTTATTAATACATTAATAAATAAAGCGTAATTAAAGTAAACAATGTATGTGAAGATTGTAAAATTGAACATGTAGCATTTATTTAAAAAAGTGAGAAAATATGTCTTGATTATAGGATCAAATATTCTAGATTTATTTTGTTGATAGAGCACAAGCTGAAATTAAAAGAAATAATATCAACAATACATTCAGATTAAAGTTTTGTTACATACAGAAATATTAATCATAGGAAATACGAAGTAATAATAAAAGAAACAACTTCCGTAGTTCCGTTAAATGCTTCACCGTTAATAAGGGGGTAATTGCCCACCCTTTCACTCATTGTGAAGCTTTTTGCACAAAAAATAGTATAAGGGCTTAGATGCCCTTTGATGACAACTTGAAGGGGTTTTTGCCCCTTATCCCAACTTTCAAAGTAGTTCAAATTAGCTGGCTTCAATTTAGCCAGTAAAGTAGTAAACTGGTGTGCCGAAATGGCATTTTAGTTTGATTTGGGTTGGTTTGGTTAGGTTTGGTTTGGTTTTGAGCTTGAACACATTTGCTCTATTAGTAGTGATGGCAACAGGGCGGATCGAGGACGGGTACACATAAAACCGAAACCACCCCGTTGGATAGATGTTTGTCCCAAAACCGCCCCATTACCCGTTCGGGTAATTTTTATTTGAACCGTACCCGCCGCAACGGGGAATCGGTTTATCCACGGGTAACCGTTTCCCCAAATGATGCCAAATAACCATTTTTTTTGGAAAACAAATAACCAATTTCTAATCCTACTTGTTATTTATATATTCAAAGCACTCTAAAGCATACAAAAGTAATTATTTAAGCAATCAAGCAGACTGGCCTAAATCCATTAGTATGACATGCACCTAATATCTCTTGTAACATAATAAAAAGGTTGTAATCATCCCAGAATCCAAATCCCAAAAACAGGTTTAGGCCTATATTTAGTTTTAGGCCTAAAAGTAGTATACTTTTTAGCATTGTTTATACTCCCTCCGTCCCAAAATTAACTTCTCATTCACTTTTTATTGGTCAACTCAAAATCACTCCTAATCTTTTACTTTATATATCAAATTTTTATCAAATTATTTTTTTTTGATCAGGTTTTGTAGCGGTTTTAATGTAGTTTTTGAATATGTAACTTTTATTTACTAAAAATAATCCGAGTGTGAACAGGGATCACGTTGCTTTATCGCTAGTCAATCATCGTAAACCGAACGGGAAGTTGTTCTGGGACGGAGGTAGTATGATGTATACTATTTAGTATACACAATTTAGCATATATACTTATTATTCTTATATATAAAAAGTTATATATAATTCATTAATAATGTTACGGATCGGGTAACGGTGCGGGTACCTGCACCATTAGTGAACGAGGCGGTTTCGGGGCGAATAACGGGGCGAATTAGCATAGAACCATAACCACACAATTAACCATTTAAAAAATTCGGGTACTGCCCCGCCCCATACCCATTCCCCAGTCAAACCAGTTTTCCCTAGTTTGACCAAATCGGTTCGGTGCGGGTATTCAACGGGTCGGCCAAAATTGCCATCTCTATCTATTAGTTAGTCTATGACTCAATATAGGAGTAGGGGGGACCAGGACGATCGGACCAACCCAGTACCCGGCCCGGATTGCCACTGTGTGGTACCGGCCAGGATTGCCACTGTGTGGTACCGGGCGGGGGGTGGGGGTGGGTAATGGGCTATAGCCCTATTGGAACTGGAACTGGTCCGGCCGTCCGGGCCCAAAATGTTTTTTCTTTAATCGAATGGGTTGGGTGGTAGGTAGAGGTGGACTCGGGCCGGGCGGCCCGAACCGGAACCGGCCCGGCTCGGCCACTGTTTGAACCGGCCCGGCCCGGCGGCCCGGCGGCCCGGCCCATGGGCGGTTCGGGTCGACCCGGCCCGGTGGCTACCGGTTCCGGGCTCGGGCCTTCATTTTGGTGAACCGGCCCGACCGGTTCGGGCCCGGTCCGGGCCAGATTTAATTTTTTTTTTTGAATTTTTTTTAAGTTTTTTGGGTTGGATTGGGTATTTTGGGCCATTTGAGGTGGTTTGGGGTGGTTTGGGGTTGAGGGGGAGGGTAGGGGGTTGACGAACCGGCCCCGGCCCGGCCCGAACTGGACCTGAGGTTACTCGGGCCGGTTCCGGGCCTCCCCTACCTTGAACCGAGGCCCGGCCGGTTCAAGGCCCGAACCGGGCCTGGCCTGGAACCGGTCGACCCCTGGTGGTAGGCGGGTTGGGCTGGGTGGTTTGGGGGTGGGGTAGGAATAAAATAGAAAAACAATTTTTTTTTTAAAAAAACATAAGACCAGGTCAAGGCCCGGTCCTAGAACCTACCTGAGCCGGTACTGGGCCTCCAACCCCAGGCCCGCCCAAGGCCTGAATTGGACCCGGTCCTGACCCTGGGTCTTGTCTTGACCTGGGTCCGATTCTGACCTGGGCCCGGTCCATTCCCATAGGAGACTATGAAGCCATTAAACCAAGCAGACTAAGGGAGTGTTTGAGATTGCTTCTACTTTAAAAAAGTGATTTTTTAAAGTGATTTTAGGGAAATTGCTTAATAGTAAAAGTTGGTAGTGTTTTAGAAAAAAGAGATTGAAAAAGATAAAGTTGATAGTGTTTGGTAAAATAAGTGCCTTTTGTGTAATAGAAATAGTGAAAAGCAGTTTAAAGCACCCTCCACATGCTTCCTACTTTTAGCTTTTAAGTGATTAATTTAAGCAGAATGCGTCATTTGAAAACACCCTTTTGAACTTTTTTTTTTTAAAACTAAAAGTTGAAAAATGGCTCTTTTTAAGTAATTGCAAACACTCCTTAAGTTTTTGTGGCTTGAATCTTGATTCGAATCACATATTGTTACCAATATCTCAATCAATAGAAAGTTAGAAACTGATGAATGAGCGAGTAAAACATGGATTCATGCACCAACAGGGGCGGATCCAGGATATTTAGTGGTTGGGGGCACAAATTAAGAAAAAACATACTCCGTAATTTTTTTCATAATGAAGTACTCAGTATAAATTAAGTTCACATGATGGAATAATTCAAAATTAACACGCTATAAAGTATTATGAAGTACATTTTATTTCAACGGGTCTCTATATATGAGTTTTATTCTTTGAAAATGACCCATCACAATTTTGTTTCTAACTGTATTAAACATATCTATATATTTTGACATAACAAATAAGACTCACAATTTTTTTTGTCCTCTTGTATACTACATTTCAACTAATCTCATACACTAACAATTTAACACTTAACTTTTTCTAGCACCTCCACTTTTTTGGATGATGGCGCCATTTTTCTTTGTGATTTAAACTATCTTGTTACCATTGTTTAATCTGTCCAAATATATTTAATTTCAAAATTTTAGGATGAATATTAAAGTGAAAAGCATTTTCTTAAAGCTAAAATTAAATTAGTTATGAACTAAAAAGAAATAATTATAAAATAACTGAAAAAATAAGTGTACTAAGTCTATGTAAACACAACAAAAGCCTATTATGATTAGCAATTTAGCACCCTTATAAAAACTGAAATTAATAATTTATAAAATTTAAATTACAATCTAACAGTGGAATAGAAATGAACTAACTTATAAATGTGTTATTAAAATCATAACTAGGAAGTAAAATACGGAGTAGTAAAAAGAAAGAGCACGCACTAGAAATTTATTAACCTGAAAAAAAGAGAATCCAAATGTAAAAGTGGATCTCCAAGATAAAGAAAGTACAGATCGAAAATGTTATATATAAACATTGAAGAAAATTTAATTGGCAATCTGTAGATTTACACTCTTACGAGCAAATGACCTCCGGCCATTCACAAATAATAAACCTTGAATTGGGAATACTTAATAGACCATAGCTATTTGTCTTCATGTATTGCTCCCGAAGATATTTTGCCCATTAACTTTCATAATTAAATTATTAAAATAATAAGTTAAAATGATGAGGAGTGGGGAGTTGGAGATTAGAAAATAGGGAGATACTAATCCCTATTTCTGTTCACTTATGTGGTAATACTAATGGAGTAAATTAATGGGGGCCTTTTTTATTTTCAATGGGGGCACCTCCCTTTTTATATAAAATTTAGTAATAAAAATTAAACAAAACTACAAAGTCATTGGGGGCATGTGCCCCCAGTTTCCAAATGCATCCGCTCCTGTGCACCAAAGCCCCTTGTGATATAGAAATTCGGCGCATTAGCCCCCTATGTTATTATTAATCATGCGCAAAATCTCTTTTATGAACAAATTGAATTGTCAAATAAATAAAAAATGGTTAACATTTTTGTATAATTTTGAGATTAAGACAAACTTATTTGCATATTCTATCATAATATTAAAAAAATGATTTTAAAATTGTTAAATTTATTCAAAAGGGATTCTGCACATGATTATTAATAACACATGAGTTATTCAGAGAAGGACGGGCCTCTCTCGATAGTTACAAATTCAATTTTAAGTGAGAGTTGAGAGCTCTTCTCTCCCAATTGGCCCCTAACGGTCATATTGGCTCTTTCACGCCGGGAAACGCCCCATCACCACCGCCAACCACCACCCTCCACCTTCACCGGAGCTAGGAAATCCACCATATTACATCACCATATTCTTGGTGTTGTAATATCTTTGATTTCTAAACTCCATCCACGATAAAACATTCTTAGCTCAAAGTTACTATTCACAGTTGACTTTTTGCAAACTGAAGATCTACACCAACGAGGGACTAGGGGGAAGAGTTCAAGGTTTATGTGGGGGTCGCCTGGCCTAGGCGCACCTCTACAGCCAGGTTTTATCACCATCCAAGAAGGTTTCTATTTTGGGTAACTATTCATCATCTTCCCAAATGGGAAAGGTGACAAATCGGAGCTCAAAATTGAAGGGAACACCACCGGAGAAGAAGTCATCTTTGAGACTGCAGGCTTTGAAGGCGAAAGAGGTAGGAATGGAAAAACAGGCCACCTCTACTCCTATGGGGGTGGTTTCATCCGAGCTTGAAGAGGAGATAACCTCGGTTTATGGGGGAACTCCATCCAAGACTGACAATGGGAAGATATCGGTTCTAGATGAACAACCCATCAGGGAGGATGAGAAGGATGACACCCTCTACGATGTTCAAATCATGGAGGCTGAAACTAGAGTACCAAGTGCTAAGGACAATCCCGAGCCTAAAACAAATGCATGGAAATCTCCCGGGACATCTTTGTTCAAAGATAATAGAGAACCAAGTAAAGGCATGAAGTTGAAGTTTATTGAACCCGTGGGAGACTTTGTTGACCTATCTAAGAGGAAGTTACCTTCTATTGTTGATATTTGGGGGTTTTGTTTGATGGGCTATTTCGCGGGCAGATTTCCGGGTTTAAAAGCCATCCACGAGCTTGTTGCAAAATGGGAAGTGCATTGTAACGTGAGACAACATGATCAAGGTTGGGTTATCTTTAGATTCAAAACCGAGGAGGCAAGGACAAAGGTTCTTATGGAGGGGCCCTATACGCTCTTTGGTAAACCTCTATACTTGAAAACTCTATCCGAGGACTTCTCCTTTACTAGTGAAGAGTTTTTGAAAGTGCCCATATGGGTCAAATTTCCATATTTACCAATGCAATTGTGGGAGGAGGAGATCATTAGTGAGGTGGCTTCTCGGGTTGGAAATCCCCTAACTACGGATAGGATTACCCAAGAAAAGGCAAGGTCCCACTTTGCTAGAGTTCTTATAGAAGTGGATGCTTCCAAACCCCCACCTCTAAAAGTTAAAGTGTTGATGCCTAACCAAAAGTTCCATAACCAAAAGGTTATATATGAAACCTTTCCAAACTTTTGTTTCAATTGCAAAGTTTATGGCCACCATGCTTTCACTTGTAAGGTTATTGCCGAGATGGAACATATGGAAAGGGAACAAAAGAAGAAAGAAATGGAGGAAGGGCAAGGGCAGCCTATTTTGGAAGATAACCAGCCCACACAACATGCTGAGGCAGACCTTCATGCCGCGGCATTGGGCAAGGACAAGCCGGTGGCTGAACATATGGCCGCGGCAAAGGGCAGGGCTGGGGCAGAACTTAAGGCTGGGGCAGAACTTAAGGCTGAGGCACAAAAGATAACAACCGAGGCTCTAATGAAGAAGAAGGACCACCATCCTTTCATGAAAGTGGTTAGGCTCAACAAAAGGAGAAGGCTAAAGAAGAAGCAACAAGAGGAAGGGGAAATATCATCCGGTTATGAAACAAAGGAAGAGGAGGCGGATGTCCCGAGAAAGATCAAAGACTTTAGGGATATTTACAATGATGAGGTCATTGTTAGCATGATCACGGATGAATATACACAACCCACTTTCAAAGTTGAGCATTTTGATGATGTCAAAGAACCAACCATTCGGCTTAATCACCTTCTTAAGATGGTTAAGGCCAATGAGCCCGGGGTATGGTTTACAAGAGCATGTCTAGAAGGCTTATCCGGAGTGAAGAAAACAAAGAGATACTATGGCTTTACAACGGAGTTTATGAGAGGAGTATATAGGCACTTCCTTGATAGATACTATGAGGATGGACATCCTATGGGAAACGGGAGCAAAGTTATGCATCCTGCTATGGTAAAGAAGAAGATCACTCGCGTGGTTGATGACATGAGAGAGGCTTATCTTGATGAGGTGGTCACCAAGGTTGAGTTTGAAGAGAATGGAGTGTCACGCCCCGGACCTCCCCGGACACGTCAACAACCCGCCGTACAATACGAATAGTCAACCGCAGTCCAACACATTCATATTATACAAGGCGTCATGAATATCATTCACACATAAGTCATCCATAAACATACATAATAAGCAATTCAATACGCAGCGGAAAACATTGTTTAAAACAAAGGGCCACACAGGGCAAACATGAGCACGCAGGCTCTAAAGTAAAATATCCATGAGCATGTTTATTAATGTTTAAAATCCGAATGGAGGAAGCACGAACCAAGTCTTCGCTCCTAGATGATCTCTCGAGCAACGAGCACAGGAAGCAAGCTCTAGCCTCAACCTGAAAAATGGTGGTGGGACGCCCCCGAAGGGGTCAGCACTCTATAGGGCTATAAAGTGCTGGTGTGGCAGGCATCTAATAGATATACAACAAGTATTTCAAACACAAGACCCTCAAATAGGGTGATAGTATATTATGATTGTAACCCTAAGTTACCCCGTTTAAAAATATACTTACTTTATATAAAAGTCAAGTAGCCGGCCCGTGGGCCCATGTTCATTTGAAAATCACCATTCCCAACCCCGTGACTAAAAGCCACGACAACTCCTAGAGTCCAACCCTAGTACATGACATTGTATTCTAGAGCTCGGCTCTACTACATCACCATACAATTCATATACCTCGGGTCAATTTCCTTACCTTGCGTTCTAGAGCTCGGCTCTATTACATCACCACGCAAGTCCTAGAGCTCGGCTCTAGCTATACAATACATAGACTCCAAGTCTACACCTTACATGCATTCTAGAGCTCGGCTCTATTACATCACCATGCATTAAGGTCCAATTCTCAAGCAACCCTATGCCTAGAATTGACATATCATTAAACTACTTTGGGTCATCCTTAAAGACTTCCCATAACTTAACCTTAGTTCCAAACTAAGTTATTATATACACTTGAACTATATTCAAGTACCTTTCATACAATCCAATCCCTAGGATCAATTTAATCAACAAGTTCCAATAATCACTAACTAGTATTTCAATACTATTAAGATTATTGTTATCATACCATTATCCTCATTATTTGTAATTCTCTACATATTTATAATTATGTAGCAGCAACTTAAGTATTCAATCTCAATACACAAATATTCATTTATGTATCCACATAATTCATACATGAGCAAAATGCCCATTTTCACAAAATAGTTCATTTATACTCATTTAATCTCATATTATTCATACCTTCTCAAATCATTTCAAATTTCATTCCTTGGCAACTATATCAATATTTCATCAATATATAATCATCATAATCCATGAAAAATCATGATTTAAGCATTTAGGTAATCTCATGCTTAACCTACAAGTTGTAAGCAATTAGATGTCAATCCTCACCTCAAATGAGCTTTAAAACCTTCCCTCTCGATCCAATGGCTAAAGCCTCGGCCAAGGAAGCTTGAGAACTGATTCCTTGCTTAGAAATGGGTGCTAAACAGCCTCCTCAAGTTGCTATTTCAACCCCTAATCGTTGATACGAAAACAGCCCCTAGAACGGGTGTTTTCCGGCTAACTCGATTCCTAGTTTTCCAATATTTGCATCTAGGTTAGTATCTAACCTTTACATCAATAAAATAACTTAATAGGGATGTTTTATACACTTGGAGTAGTGTATAATAGTCCCACCAATCGTTCATATCATTTGGAAAATGAATGGAAAGGTTTTGGGATTAAAAACTCACTTAGAAGAGTAAATCCGTCCCTGCGAGGTCGCGTTCTTCTCGGACGATTTGGAAGCCTTCCTCTAATCCGATTGATGCAAACCAGACCTTCACGGATTCCTCGTCTTGAGAGCTTTCTTTTGGTATCTCACACGCCTTAATTGGATTGGTAAAACTCGAGATATCAACCAAACAGTCTCAGCACTCTCACAGCTCGAGTTCACAGACCACTGCTCGTTCCAGATCGATTTTTGTTAGATAAGCTCTCTCTCCTCGAACAAAGACCACTCAATTATGAAACTACACTTCAAGAGCTATCCAAGGACACCTCATACACGTTATTTGGTTGAGGATAGCTCCTATAATGAGAGGAGACAAACATCACACCAATTTGTGCGAAAATAAGAGTGGTGGCCCAAACTTTGATTCCTATCAAGTCATGTGCAGCTCCCCTCCATTATGGACGGCCAAGGTAGGTCTTCTAACCCATTTTTATTTGTTTTGCAGGTACTAATATCATGTGGAGTGGTTCCCAATTGATCCCATTAAATTTGGGGTCCAAAATATCTACCCATACTTCCAAAAATGGGAAGATGGGTCCTATTGTTTTATCTTTGTCAAAGATGTCTTCTTGTACTCATCCTAATTTATTTAGAACAAGTCAACTTCCTAAATCACATTATTGATCTCCAATATGTGTAGGCTCATCCCAATAATTTACTTGATGGATATTTTAGAAGGAAAATCCTACTCCCATTATTTAGCTCAATAATGCCAAAGATGGGGTTATAGACATTTGTATTCTCCTTTAATCATTCTTTCACTATTTTGGTAATGTTGGGCTTTTTTTTTATTTATTAATAAGTCCCGAGTAAGTATTTGCGAAACCCGACACGAATGTACGAGTTTGAACAGTACGATATTCAACCATGCACTACGTAGAACATTGATCGTTTTACGAAATGTTTGGGAATCGGAAATCCAATACATAAGCTATGAATATTCAAATCAAATTTCCAAGGACATTCGGGTGCGGTGTCACAAGTTCACCCCCCCTTAACAGGAATTTCGTCCCCGAAATTCACAGCTCTACTCGAATAGGAAAGCATACTGCTTCCTCATCAAAGCCTCTGTTTCCCATGTCTCTTCTTCGACCCGATCGCTCTTCCACAAGACTTTAACCATTGGGACTTCCTTGCTCCTCAGTTTCTTCACCTTTCTATCGGTGACCTTGATAGGTTGAACAGAGTAGTTCAAATCCTCACGTACCTCTACAGGTGGCTTCTCCAATACGTGAGAGGGATCATGCACATACTTCTTAAGCATGGATACATGAAACACATTATGTATCTTCTCTAACTCAGGAGTCAATTGTAGACGATATGCAACGGCCCCAATCCTCTCTATAATTCTGAATGGACCTATATATCGTGGGTTAAGTTTTCCTCGGGTTTGGAACCGAATGATCCCTTTCCAAGGAGAAACTTTCAAGAATACCTCGTCATCAACCTTAAACTCTAAGGTTCTTCGACGCTTATCTGCATAACTCTTTTGTCTATCCTGAGCCGCCTTGAGTCTCTCTCGAATTAGCTTCACCTTTGATTTGGTGACCTCCACCAACTCAGTACCCTCGAGTTTGGCCATGCCAACCTCGTCCCAGCATAACGGTGTACGGCACCTCCTCCCATACAATGCCTCGTATGGAGGCATGCCGATGCTTGCCTGATAACTGTTGTTATAGGCAAACTCCACAAGTGCTAAGTGGTTGTCCCAACTCCCCTGAAACTCCAATGCACAAGCCCTCAGCATGTCTTCTAGGATCTGTATAACCCTTTCAGACTGCCCATCCGTCTGTGGATGGAAAGCAGTGCTGAACTTCAACTTCGTTCCCATAGACTCCTGGAATTTCGGCCAAAAACGTGATGTGAATCGTGGGTCTCTATCAGATACAATGGTCACCGGGACCCCATGCAGCCTCACGATCTCATCCGTATACAATTTGGCTAACCTCTCAAGTGGGTAGGTAGTGTTGATAGGCAAGAAGTGTGCACTCTTTGTGAGCCTATCCACAACGACCCAAACCGCGTCATAGTTCCTGATAGTCCGTGGTAAGCCTACCACGAAATCCATAGTCACGTGCTCCCACTTCCATTCAGGGATGGAGAGTGGTTGCAATAAGCCTGCTGGGTGCTGATGTTCTGCCTTAACTTGTTGACAAGTAAGGCACCGACTGATGTACTCGGCTATTTCCCTCTTCATTCCAGACCACCAGTAACTTTCCTTCAAATCACGGTACATTTTCGTGCCCCCCGGGTGCATGGCATAAGCCGATGAATGAGCCTCCTCTAAGATGGACTTTCGGAGCTCATCATCTGACGGTACACACACTCGGTCACGAAATAACAAGAGACCATCATCTCTTTCCCTGAAATCCTCCACCGGCCCCGCTTGCATGCGTTCCCGGACCTTCATAAGTTCTTCGTCGGCTTCCTGACCCTTCTTGATCTCATCAAGTAAAGTGGGTCTCACCTCAAATCGTGCCAATAAGGCACCATCGCTGGTTACCTCCAGTTGGGCTCTTAATGCCCTCAAATTAGTTATCAATGCCCCAGACGAGCTCTTCCGGCTCAAAGCATCTGCCACCACGTTTGCCTTGCCTGGGTGATACTCTATCACTAGATGGTAGTCTTTTATCAGCTCCATCCACCGTCTCTGTCTCATGTTTAGCTCTTTCTGAGTAAACACGTACTTCAAGCTCTTGTGATCAGTGTATATGTGACATGTCTCCCCGTAGAGATAATGTCTCCATATCTTCAGTGCAAATACCACTGCCCCGAGTTCCAAATCATGAGTAGGATAATTCACCTCATGCTTCTTCAATTGTCGTGAAGCATAGGCGATTACCCTCCCATTCTGCATCAGTACACATCCGAGCCCTTGGATGCTCGCATCGCTATAGACATCGTACCCCACACCTTGTTTGGGTAATGCAAGTACCGGTGCCTCAGTCAATCTCTTCTTTAGTTCCATGAACCCCTTCTCACATTTGTCATCCCATACAAACTTAGCTCCTTTACGAGTGAGCTTCGTCAATGGCGATGCCAAAACAGAGAACTTCTCCACGAACTTTCTATAGTAGCCTGCCAATCCAAGGAAACTACGAATTTCCTTGACGTTCTTTGGCCTCTCCCATTCAGTAATGGCTTCTATCTTCTTGTTATCAACAGCAATCCCCGATCCTGAAACCACGTGCCCGAGGAAGCCAATCTCCTTTAGCCAAAATTCACATTTAGAAAATTTGGCATAGAGTTGCTTCTCCCGTAGTGTTTCAAGAACAAGTATCAAGTGCTCCTCATGCTCTTCTTCACTCTTTGAGTAAATCAAGATGTCATCTATGAACACAATCACGAATCGATCCAAGTATTTATGGAATACTCGGTTCATCAAGTCCATGAATGCCGCCGGGGCGTTTGTTAACCCAAACGACATAACAAGGAACTCAAAATGCCCATACCTTGTGCGGAAAGCACTCTTTGGTATGTCATCTTCCTTAATCTTCAATTGATGGTACCCCGACCTCAAGTCAATCTTCGAAAACACGGTTGCTCCTCGTAGTTGATCAAACAAGTCATCAATCCTAGGCAACGGATACCTATTCTTGATTGTGACCTTGTTCAGTTGACGATAGTCAATGCACATTCGAAGTGTCCCATCTTTCTTTTTCACAAAAAGAACCGGTGCTCCCCACGGGGAGTGGCTTGGTCTAATGAAACCGTTATCCAAAAGCTCTTGCAATTGGGTTTTCAACTCGTTAAGTTCGGCGGGTGCCATCCGGTATGGCGGTATGGAGATTGGTTTGGTACCAGGCTCGACCTCGATCACAAATTCAATCTCTCTGTCAGGTGGAAGCCCCGGTAGGTCTTTAGGGAAGACATCCGGATACTTACAAACCACCCTCACACCATCGACGTTCGTTTCCTCTTTGGTTTTGTCAACCACGTATGCTAGATATGCGTGGCATCCCTTCCTCATCATATTTCTCGCTCTCACGGCGGATATGATACAACTATTTGATTTGCCGCGGTCCCCCTCGAAGCGTAGGGTGTCCCCCTGTGTGCCTTCGAGTTCCAACACCTTTGTGTAGCAATCTACCCTAGCATGATGCTTTTCTAGCCAATCCATCCCTAGGATTGCATCGAACTCCATCATACTCAGCGGTACGAAATCACACGTCAAGGTTTGGCCACCGATTTCCACCATACAAGATGGATAGTAATTGTTTCTTTCAACGTCTTCCCCTAGTGGGGTTGATACCACTAAGGTTTGTGTCATTGGTATTGATTGCATCTCTAAGCTCTCGGCAAACGCCTCACTCACGAATGAACGTTGCGCTCCGGTATCGATAAGGATTCGTGCATCCTTCCCGTTAATCTTTAGTGTCCCTACATTCATGAACCATGTAAGACATCTTTCCTACCCTCCCTACTCATTTATAGAAGGTCGCAATGTTCACACGCACGTTAGGGATCAAGAAGAGGCCTTAACGTCGCAAAACGATGCGAAAAAAATCGGGTTTCGGCAATCTGGGTGCCAGGCACGGCGTGCCCGGGGTAGGCACGATCGTGCCTGGCTCAGGAAAACGCCCTGGGGCTACTGCCTTGGAGGCACGATCGTGTCTGCCTTAGGCACGATCGTGCCTGGGTTGGAAAAATCCTGGGAACCACTGACTTGGAGGCACGATCGTGTCTGCCTTAGGCACGATCGTGCCTGGTTTGGAGAAAAGCCCTGGGCAGCTACTGCCTTGTAGGCACGATCGTGTCTGCCTTAGGCACGATCGTGCCTGGGCTGGGAATATTCCTGGGCAGCTACTGACTTGGAGGCACGATCGTGTCTGCCTTAGGCACGATCGTGCCTGGGTCCCAGCCGCCTGAAGTTGCCCGAAATCCCCCGGTTCGACCCCAAAACCTCGTGCAATGATCCTAGCGATTAGTATCCTCAATTTATGGACTAATTAAGGATAAAACACTAGTATATGAGAGGCAATACCTGCGACGGAGTCCGGGTTAGCTTGAGCATCCGCCTCCGTCATCGCATAGACCCTAGCCTGGGTCCTCCCTTGGTTCACGGATGGCGCGTTGCTCGCACTTGCTCCCCCTTGCCCCCTGCTTGCTTGAGAAGCCCCGGTCTGATTCCGTGTACCCGTCGGGCCACTACTTGGTCCCGATGTCCTTGCCCCGCCCAGTTGTGGGCAATGTGCCTTCAAATGCCCGGCATCCCCACATTGGAAACATCTAGGGGGGGTCGCGACATTTACCGGAATGGTTCCTCTTGCAATTGTTGCAACGAGTTACCACTGAGGTCTGTGACCTCAAGCCTTGCCCACTTGGGCCTTGGTTCCCCCTTGATGGTGGCGGTGGTGCCCGGAAAGATCCTCCTCCGTGGTTCCCCCTTTTGTTGGAACCTTGGGAGCCATGACTCTCCCATTTTCTCTTCTTCGCCTCTTCGGCGTCTCTCTTCTTCCGTTCCTCCCACTGTTTCTCCCCTTTCAATGCTTGTTCAACCACTTGGGCGAAAGTCATATTAGGCAATTGCGTTGCCCTATCACGTATCTCCAAGTCAAGAGCGTCCCAAAAGTGGTTCACCATGCGGTTCTCGTCACAAGCATACTCCGGTATGTAGTCGGCGAGATCCCGGAACTTGTACTCCAGCTCCTTCACTGACATGTTACCCCCTTGGGTTAGGAGGGTGTATTCCCTCACCTTCTTATTCACCTCGAAATCAGAATAGTATTGGGCAAAGAACTCCCGTTGGAAGTCCTCCCAAACAACGGTCTCACCGTACTTGTTCTTGGTTCCATCCCACCACTTGGATGCCATCCCCTCGAGCAATCTTACCGCAATTCTCAGTTTGAGATTCGGCGCGATTTGCATGTCAAGGGCCGCTTCATTTAGCCTCTTGATCCATTGTGCTGCCACTGAAATGTCCCCTGCTCCATCAAAGGGTTTGCACCCCAAATCTCTTGCTTCTTTGATGTACTTGGAGATCCTTATGGTTGGACCTCCATCATTTTGGCCTCCACGTGGTTCCACATGGACTCTAGATGCACCATGACTTCCTCCTCGTGAAGCCATGCCCGAAGGTTGCCCAGCCCGGCGCCTTCGGCGTTCCCTCCTCTCTTCACGCTCACGGTGATATTGTTGGAGCAGCGCCTCTATTCTTGCTAGGGAGTCATTCTCCCCCTCTTCATCGCTCACATCATCGTCATCCCCTTCGTAAGGGGTCTCAACCGGCTCGGTCCCCGGTTGGTAAGTCGAGTCCTCATAGGACCAGTAGGTTTCACTTTCTGTGTCGACATGACCGTCACTCACGGTCTGTGATCGGCCTCCACGGCCAGCTCCTCTAGATGCCCTAGAGGTCCTTCGACTGCCCTGTCCAGTCTCCTCTGGTACACGGCCGGTCGGGTTTCTCCTAGTAATCCTGCCACCACGGTCCATTTCTGAAAGAAATTGGGAAAGAGTCGTTAGACTCGTATCAAATGTCAATTGACGGATAGGTACTTAAGACACATTTTGGCTCGAGTCACTGCCATACCAATTGCTAAGGGTACCATCTTAACAATTAGAGACCTTGCAACCCAAGTACCAAAAGCTCTCCAAGTACAAAACTTCTATGCTTATGGTTTTCAAAATCTTTTCAAAAAGAGAATTTTGAGACTTCATTATGAAGTTTATGGACTAAGGCTCTGATACCAACTTAATTGTCACGCCCCGGACCTCCCCGGACACGTCAACAACCCGCCGTACAATACGAATAGTCAACCGCAGTCCAACACATTCATATTATACAAGGCGTCATGAATATCATTCACACATAAGTCATCCATAAACATACATAATAAGCAATTCAATACGCAGCGGAAAACATTGTTTAAAACAAAGGGCCACACAGGGCAAACATGAGCACGCAGGCTCTAAAGTAAAATATCCATGAGCATGTTTATTAATGTTTAAAATCCGAATGGAGGAAGCACGAACCAAGTCTTCGCTCCTAGATGATCTCTCGAGCAACGAGCACAGGAAGCAAGCTCTAGCCTCAACCTGAAAAATGGTGGTGGGACGCCCCCGAAGGGGTCAGCACTCTATAGGGCTATAAAGTGCTGGTGTGGCAGGCATCTAATAGATATACAACAAGTATTTCAAACACAAGACCCTCAAATAGGGTGATAGTATATTATGATTGTAACCCTAAGTTACCCCGTTTAAAAATATACTTACTTTATATAAAAGTCAAGTAGCCGGCCCGTGGGCCCATGTTCATTTGAAAATCACCATTCCCAACCCCGTGACTAAAAGCCACGACAACTCCTAGAGTCCAACCCTAGTACATGACATTGTATTCTAGAGCTCGGCTCTACTACATCACCATACAATTCATATACCTCGGGTCAATTTCCTTACCTTGCGTTCTAGAGCTCGGCTCTATTACATCACCACGCAAGTCCTAGAGCTCGGCTCTAGCTATACAATACATAGACTCCAAGTCTACACCTTACATGCATTCTAGAGCTCGGCTCTATTACATCACCATGCATTAAGGTCCAATTCTCAAGCAACCCTATGCCTAGAATTGACATATCATTAAACTACTTTGGGTCATCCTTAAAGACTTCCCATAACTTAACCTTAGTTCCAAACTAAGTTATTATATACACTTGAACTATATTCAAGTACCTTTCATACAATCCAATCCCTAGGATCAATTTAATCAACAAGTTCCAATAATCACTAACTAGTATTTCAATACTATTAAGATTATTGTTATCATACCATTATCCTCATTATTTGTAATTCTCTACATATTTATAATTATGTAGCAGCAACTTAAGTATTCAATCTCAATACACAAATATTCATTTATGTATCCACATAATTCATACATGAGCAAAATGCCCATTTTCACAAAATAGTTCATTTATACTCATTTAATCTCATATTATTCATACCTTCTCAAATCATTTCAAATTTCATTCCTTGGCAACTATATCAATATTTCATCAATATATAATCATCATAATCCATGAAAAATCATGATTTAAGCATTTAGGTAATCTCATGCTTAACCTACAAGTTGTAAGCAATTAGATGTCAATCCTCACCTCAAATGAGCTTTAAAACCTTCCCTCTCGATCCAATGGCTAAAGCCTCGGCCAAGGAAGCTTGAGAACTGATTCCTTGCTTAGAAATGGGTGCTAAACAGCCTCCTCAAGTTGCTATTTCAACCCCTAATCGTTGATACGAAAACAGCCCCTAGAACGGGTGTTTTCCGGCTAACTCGATTCCTAGTTTTCCAATATTTGCATCTAGGTTAGTATCTAACCTTTACATCAATAAAATAACTTAATAGGGATGTTTTATACACTTGGAGTAGTGTATAATAGTCCCACCAATCGTTCATATCATTTGGAAAATGAATGGAAAGGTTTTGGGATTAAAAACTCACTTAGAAGAGTAAATCCGTCCCTGCGAGGTCGCGTTCTGCTCGGACGATTTGGAAGCCTTACTCTACTCCGATTGATGCAAACCAGACCTTCACGGATTCCTCGTCTTGAGAGCTTTCTTTTGGTATCTCACACGCCTTAATTGGATTGGTAAAACTCGAGATATCAACCAAACAGTCTCAGCACTCTCACAGCTCGAGTTCACAGACCACTGCTCGTTCCAGATCGATTTTTGTAAGATAAGCTCTCTCTCCTCGAACAAAGACCACTCAATTATGAAACTACACTTCAAGAGCTATCCAAGGACACCTCATACACGTTATTTGGTTGAGGATAGCTCCTATAATGAGAGGAGACAAACAGCACACCAATTTGTGCGAAAATAAGAGTGGTGGCCCAAACTTTGATTCCTATCAAGTCATGTGCAGCTCCCCTCCATTATGGACGGCCAAGGTAGGTCTTCTAACCCATTTTTATTTGTTTTGCAGGTACTAATATCATGTGGAGTGGTTCCCAATTGATCCCATTAAATTTGGGGTCCAAAATATCTACCCATACTTCCAAAAATGGGAAGATGGGTCCTATTGTTTTATCTTTGTCAAAGATGTCTTCTTGTACTCATCCTAATTTATTTAGAACAAGTCAACTTCCTAAATCACATTATTGATCTCCAATATGTGTAGGCTCATCCCAATAATTTACTTGATGGATATTTTAGAAGGAAAATCCTACTCCCATTATTTAGCTCAATAATGCCAAAGATGGGGTTATAGACATTTGTATTCTCCTTTAATCATTCTTTCACTATTTTGGTAATGTTGGGCTTTTTTTTTATTTATTAATAAGTCCCGAGTAAGTATTTGCGAAACCCGACATGAATGTACGAGTTTGAACAGTACGATATTCAACCATGCACTACGTAGAACATTGATCGTTTTACGAAATGTTTGGGAATCGGAAATCCAATACATAAGCTATGAATATTCAAATCAAATTTCCAAGGACATTCGGGTGCGGTGTCACATGGAGACTATAAAGTCCACCTAAGGCATGCGGATCACATTGAGGAGATGATGACAAGACTTGATAATTATCTTGATATTGATGGGAAAGCTAAGAGAGATGGAATAACATTCACAAGTGCTTGCTTGGATTCTCTACCGGGGGCTGTCCGCACGGAGGATGGGTATGATTTCTTTTATCCATTTTTTCTTAAAGTTTATCCCCTTTTCCTTGATAGGTATAAAGGTTGTGATACTTACCGAGAGTGGGTAAAAAGAGATAGAGAGAACAACAAGCCGTACAAGAGGAGGGGGGGGGGGGGGGGGAAGGATAAACATTTTTAATGTTTTTAGCTTCATGGAACGTAAGGGGGCTTAATCAAGCCTCAAAACAAAAGACAATAGCTACTTTCGCACGAGTGAATAAGGTACGTATTTTTTGTATTCTTGAAACAAAGATGTCTCCTTCCACTTTTGATAAATTCTTGAATGTTAGGCTTAATTCATGGATGTATATTACTAACTTTGACAAGATAAGTGGTGGCCGCATGGCTGTCATTTGGGACCCAAATCTTGTTGATGGAGTGGTCTTACAAGTGGATAAACAACACATACATGTTCGGTTCACTTGTAGGGTCACGCAAATGTCTTTTTACGTAACGTTTATTTATGCTTTATATACTATTGTGCAAAGGAGGGAACTTTGGGAGCATATTACTGGATTGAGCCAAAATATACTTGCTCCTTGGGTAATTTTAGGTGATTTTAACTGTGTAGGATCTCCAAATGAGAGAAGGGGGTCAGCCCCCCCTTCGGCCTATGCAATGAAAGACTTAAATGACATGAAAATGCAATCTCATGTTTTTGATGCTCCCTCTACGGGTGAACTTTATACTTGGCATAGAAATGCAATTTGGGCAAAACTTGATAGAGTTCTTATTAACTCTTTTTGGAATCTACAAAATGTCGAGTGTAGGGCTCATTTTTTTGAGATGGAGTGTGAATTTGATCATGTCGCAACCCTTGTAACTATTGGTGCCGTGACTAAGGGGGGCTCAAAACCGTTTAAGTTCTTTAATATGTGGCAAAAGCATGAACATTTTAATGATATTTTGGAGAGTGTTTGGTCTAGGAATGTTGTCGGTAACGCTCAGTTTAGGCTTGCCCGAAAACTGAAATTACTAAAACAACCCCTAAAAACACTCAACAAAGTTGAATTTAGTCACATCTCGGCTAGGGCAAAGGAATCCAAAAGGGAGTATAAGAGAATCTATCAACTAGCCCTCTTATCCCCTTTAGATGATGCCTTAAAAGAGGAAATGGAATGTGCTAAGAAAAGAGCCCTGTTTCTTAGGGAAGCCGAGGAAGCCTATCTCAGACAGAAGGCTAAGGCTGTCCATCTTTTTCAATCGGATAGGTGTACCAAATATTTCCACTCTATTGTGAAAAAGAAAAATGCTCAAAACTCTATTGCTTCCTTGAGATTACAGGACGGTAGTCTTACTAAATCCATGGATCAAGTAGCAAATGAGTTCACAGCATTTTTTAAAGATTTATTTGGTACGAATGTACCTATGGTGGGATATGACCCGGGGATTATTTTATCAGGAAAGACCATAGATCAATCACTTGCGGCTGACCTTATTAGTCCTGTTACTGATTTGGAAATTAAACAAGCCTTGTTTGATATTGGTGATGATAAAGCCCCTAGTCCGGATGGATATTCATCAGCTTTCTTTAAAGCAAATTGGAGTAAAGTTGGTGAAGATGTTTGTAGTGCGGTGAGGGAGTTCTTTGAGACTGGGAATATGCTGAAACAGGTCAATCACACCATTGTTGCACTTATTCCTAAGACAACTCACTCCCCCACTGTTTCGGATTTTAGGCCTATTTCATGTACAAATGTGACTTATAAGACTATCACAAAAATTCTTTCATCACGTCTAGGTCCTTTACTTTCTAGTGTTATCAACCCAGCACAGGGAGCTTTTGTTGATGGGAGATTAATGTCTGACAACATCTTCTTGGCACAAGAGTTAGTGAGGGGATACACTAGGAAAAGGCCTTCACCTAGATGTATGATTAAGATTGACCTTAGAAAAGCTTATGATACGGTATCATGGGATTTTCTTGGAAAAGTGTTGTTGGATATTGGGCTTCCAAATCTGTTTGTTGGTTGGATTATGGAGTGTGTCTCAACCTCTTCTTTCTCCATCTCCATTAATGGCACTCTCCATGGATGGTTTGAGGGGAAAAGAGGGTTAAGGCAAGGAGATCCAATGTCCCCGTTACTGTTTGTTATTTGTTTGGAGTATTTTTCAAGGTTGATAGAAAATAGGACATCTAATCCTCATTTCCGGTATCACCCTTTATGCTCTAAGCTTAAAATAACACATTTGGCTTATGCAGATGATTTGATGATTTTTTCTAAAGGTCATTATTCATCTATTAAAATATTAGTGGATGCCTTGAACGACTTTGGATTAGCTTCCGGTCTTATGGTAAACCTTGATAAAACTAATATTTTTTTAGGTGGAAATGTCGAAAGTAGAATTCCTTATATTCTTGAAAGGGTAGGTTTTCAACAAGGATCCTTTCCGGTAAGATATTTGGGTATTCCGTTGGCTCCTTTGAACATATCTGTAGCTCAATTTGCTTCATTGATTGACAAGGTTACAGCTTATCTAGAGGCATGGAACTCAAAAACTCTATCCTATGCCGGGAAGGTTGAGTTGATTTCATCCGTCATGCAGGGGGTCCAATCCTTTTGGCTAGGTATTTTTCCTATGCCAAGGGCCATCCTTGATAGGATTACCTCCCTATGTAGACTATTTCTGTGGGGAAGTAAGCGTGCTAAGGTAGCATGGAGTGACGTGTGCTTACCAAAAAATGAGGGGGGATTGGGAATTAGGGATACAAAGGTTTGGAATAGTGCTTTACTTTCTCGTACCCTTTGGAATATTCATGCTAAAAAAGAAACTTTATGGGTAAAGTGGGTACATGGGGTTTATCTTCATGGAAGAGATGTGTGGACGTTTGGGCCACACACCAAGGACTCACGGCTTATGAAGACAATTGCCAATATCCGGGATTTGATTGTTTCCAAGTTCCCTTCTTTGGACATGGCCGTAGTTCAACTTGAAAAGTTCTCCCAAAATGGGAAAATTTCTTCTTCAAAGGTGTATGATTTACTCAGAATTAAAGGCACGGTGCACCCCTGGATGTCCTTTATTTGGAAGAGCTACATTCCACCTAAATTCTCTTTCATTACGTGGCTTGCCTTCCGGGGAAGACTAGCTACGTATGATAGGTTAGGTTATCTTGATGTGGTGAATACTTGTCATTTTTGTAAGGGTGACCCGGAAACGGTGCCACACCTATTTTTTGAATGTGCATTTACAGGGCAGGTATGGAACATGGTTCGTGACTGGCTTGGATTATCTAGACAGATGACTACACTTTCAAGTGCGGTCAAATGGATCAAGAAGGAACATCATGGAGCAAATGTTAAGGCCAAGGTCGTGAGGCTCTCTTTTTGCTACACCATCTATTGGACTTGGAGGATGAGAAATCTGATTTGTTTTGAGAAGGCCAAGGCGACAGTGTTAGATATGGCTAAACATATCAAGTTTATGGTGTATAAAATCTTATATTACATGTATCCAATAGATAGGATAACATTTTGATTTTTGCTGATTCGTCACCATGTTTTGTGATGGCTAGCATGTTTGCGTAGCTATAGGTGGTTTTTGGGAGGTGACTGGGTATCCTTGCTTGGGATGACCCATACGATCTGTTCTGCCATTATACAGATGTACATATACACTTTGGATATATATATTTACATTTTATCCAAAAAAATAATAACACATGAGTTTTTGATGCATTTTCTAAATCACAGGGGCTAATGCGCCGAATTTCTACATCACAAGAGGTTTTGGTGCATTAAACCCGAGTAAATCATAACAGGTGTTTTCAGTTTGGCTTGGCTGTATGAAACCAATTTAAGTTAATGTGATCTATACGTTATTTAATTTAGTTCAATATTGATTCGTACTGAAATTGTGTATATTGTATAATCGATTAAAAAATTACCTAGGTAGGGACTATGAAGAGGGAATATTTTTAAAAGGGAAAAATAATTAAATAACTCAAACTTTAATGGGGTGTGAGACAAGTATATCAACTTGCCTATGTAATATATATATACCATGAACTTTAAAAAATTATTTTCGCCCCATGATTGTATCTTACTCTCTACGCCCTCTTATCTTTGGCCCATTTTATCTTTTTCATCCGTTTGACTAAGTTTGTCA